CATCTCCTTTGGATCTATAATAATTGCGATGATGATATACAGTCATAAGGTTTGCTATGAGAATTAATCAGAAAATTCATAATTAACCTAGTATATTAATTATTTATAGTGTTCTAGGCAATAATATAACCACTCTCTTAGTGTTAAATTATAGTACCAGCATTAGTCCCATATTGTAAATAAAAGGCACAGGGCACAGAGATGTTGTTGATTGACTGGTCCAAGGTCATATACCTCATTAAAGTGATACCACTAGGATTGGAAACCACAGTCTTAGTCCAGAGGGTAAGCTCCTAACCACCATGTTCTGGTGTCTCATTTTCCTATTTAATAGGACAAAATAATGCTTTAAAATCCCTAGTGTGCCATCACACTATTAATGAATAGTGAACTGTTTTATAAAGGTCAACATCAATTATGTCACCTCCTATTTCAAGATGTTTTAAACTGAGAAAGTAGAAAAACCATTCAGGTATGCACTTTAAAATGTTTTACAAGCTCAGTGTAGTGGCACACACTTGTAATCCTAGTTCTTGGGAGGCTAAGGCAAGAGGAGTTTGGTATGAATTTGAGGCCAGCCTGGGCTACACAGAGTTCCAGGCCAGTCTGAATGAAACTGGAGACCTGGTCACAAACAAAACAAAACAAAACAAAACAAACAAAAGGTCTTCCATTCCAGGATATCACTCAACATAGGTTAAGGCCTCACTCTGGAGAAGCCAAAGGAAGAAGCAGGCAGGGGAAGTGGTGGTAGAGAACAACTGAGCCACTACTGCACGTGATGACTGCCGGGACTTTTCACAGGTGTCATGCAACTTCTGTTCACAAATAGCCAGGGAGTGGCTGTACTGCTCAGTGCACAAGCAAGAAAACAGAGACTTGCTAGATTCCTTATGATCCTAGTAATGGATTTCCTGAGTAAAGTTGAGTGAAGAGACCGAAGTGGCCAGGCTCATGAATGAAGCCTGTCTGACTAGCTGGGGTTCCCACCCAGCACTCAGTCCAGGAGCTGAGCTCTTCAGCCCTCCATATCCTCCACTCCTGCATATGATCAAGGATTGAAAATATTCAGAAAAATGCATCTGTTACTGAATATGTACAGAATTTTTATTGTCATTATTTCTGAACATTTGTATAACATTACAGTTACTCAGTTATAACATTAATAACAGTCTTATGCCAGAGGTAAGCCCCTAACCACCATGTCCTGGTATCTCATTATGCACATAGCATTTAATTTTATCAAGTACTGTAAGTGTACTTGAAAGTGTAAAGAAGGAGGTACACAGTTAGTGTGCAAAAACTGTTCCATTTAATAAATGGGTTTTGGCCTCCACCTACCAATCCCCTGCAGATACAGAGGGACAACTGTCTATATCTTCCCCCCACCTTGGTTCCAGATATTATGGAGAAAGCACCAGTGGCCAGTGTAAGAAGTGTGACAAGAGCTGCAAGTCATGCCAGGGCCCAAGGCCCACAGACTGCCTGTCTTGCGACACCTTTTTCTTTCTACTACGCTCCAAAGGACAGTGTCACCGCACCTGCCCAGAGCATTACTATGCAGACCAACACACACGGACCTGTGAGAGATGTCATCCAACTTGCAACGAATGCAAAGGTGAGACTGTACCTGTGACCTGTGCTTGCACATGCAAACGGAAAAATGAGAGGTTTTCCTTCCTGCGTTGCCCGTCTTACCACCTCCAGAAGTTCCCTAATAAAACCTCCCTAAGACGTCTGCCTCAAACTCTCCCAAGCTCCAGTCGTCTTTTCCAGATGTCTGTTGGTACTAGAGATCATCAAATCGGTGTTCAGCCACTGACGGGGGGAGGGGGGGCACCTTGATACCACCCTTAGTATTTCTCTTTCCTTTGCCTCCTGCCAAGCCTACCTACTTCCAACACAGCTGGATTTCAAGAACTGCTGACCCTCTAGACCTCAAGACCTGCTGACCCTTCTCCTAAACAGACCTCTCATTAGGCCTCCTTCTGGGCTCTCACATTTTCCAGTCCCAGGATCCCTTATCAGGCCTTCTGAAGAAGCCGGCAGGTCACCTGGACCTGTGCTGTCTCCCCTAGATTATTCTGTACACTTATCCTAGAACAATCATTCTAAAATTCAAACTTGCTCTTTCTCTCTGAATCTTGTGAAAAGACGATCACAGTGAATTCATTTAACATGTAATGGGCAGGAGAGTGTACTCCTGTTCTTTTCAAAATGGTCTTCACTTTTCTGTGCCCTTCTAGATGCATTTTGTAATCAGCCATTTCATTTCTAACAATCCTTTGGATGCTTTTTTGGATCACATTGTGCATCCTTTGATGGAAGATCATTCTTCATGACCCCACGTCATCACATTTGAGAGCATGCATTTACATACAGCTGTTCAATGAATTTCCACTAAGTGTTTTCCTTTTTAAATTTTATTATCATGGGTTAAGGCCCTTTTTTTGGTCTCTTTTTTGGAAACAGGGTCTCCCTGTAGCCCCAGCTGGTCTGGAACTCACTATGTAGACCAGACTGGCCTTGAATTCACAGAGATCTGCCTGACTCTGCCTCCTGAGTGCTGGGATTAAAAGTGTGCACCACCAGCCTGGCTGCCGGTCCATCATCATTCAAGTATTATACTGCTAATCCCCCCCCCCTTTAAAGGTATAGCCCAGACTCCCCTTAAACTCATGAGTCTCCTGCCTCATCCTCTTCAGCATACCACAGGTATGCAATTAAAATCTTTTCCCCATTCAGCCCCTCTACTTCAGTACCAACTCTTATAAAGCATATTCTAGAGCCAAAAAAAAAAAATCACCTAGAAATACCCAGAACCTCTCAGTAGCCACTTTATTCCATGCCCCTGGGATTTAGCTCCCCTTCTTCAACAGCACTCCAGAGTCGGCTTATACACCGTCTTCTCTGGGCTTGTCTCATCCCCCAGCAGTCTTCCTCCATCCTGATTCTGTAACCAGTGGTCTAGCAAAGTGTTCTACATCACTTGTTTTTTCTAGTGCAGAGAATGAAACTTAGGGCCACATGTACTAGGGAAGCACCCTAGCACTGAGCTATATTCCAAGCCCTACATTACATTTTAATTAAACGTGTCCAAGTCTTCAACCGTGAGTCCCTCATGCAAAAGCAAGGATTATGAGGGTTTTTTTAATGTTCATACTCCAGCCCTACTCCTAGTCTTGAGCATAACACTTGGTAAGTACTCACTAAGTATTCAATAAATAAATGGATGTATAGGAAGGAAATAAATCTTTTTTTCTTGCAAAGTGGAAAATGATCAGCCATTTCAAATATTGTTTCTCCATCCTTTCCTCCAATCTATTTATTTATGTGTGTGAGTGTCTTGCCTCCATGTATGTAAGTGCACCATGTGTGTGCAAAGCCTGTGGAAGTCAGTAGAGGGCATCGGATTCCCTGGAACTGGAGTTATGGACAGTTGTTAGCTACTGTGTGGGTTCTGTGGGTGCTGAGAATTGAAGCCAGATCCTACACAACAGCAGCCAGTGATCTTATCCTCTCCAGCCCCAATTTAGAGTTCCCTGATCTGTCTTTTATGTCTTCTACCTGCTCGTCTCTTTCTATCTTGGCAATACAGATTCCATCAGCAAGCCAATCAGCAGTGTGATGGGAATCCTGCAACAGCAGAGTCCTGCCCTAACTCCCGTGTAAGCTCTGAG